TTTTTTGGTTTTTTTGAAGTCTCATCATTAGGAACTGAAAACTGGAAAGCAACTTATTGAAATAAACATGAGGAGGGACAAAGAATGGACAAGACCTTTGGCTGGTATCAGTTATCACAGCTTCAGTAATCCCTCAGAGTCTTTACCCTTCTTTCTAATGGACTGACTGCCCAGTGTCCGTAACAGCAGAGCCCTTGGTGGTTCAGGTGACATGCACTGAATGCAATTCCAGGGGCAGCAAACCCACCTTTGCAAGGACACCATGGGCTGCTCTGAATTACTATAAAACTGCAGCTGAGAGATGGTCTAACATATAATTTGAAAGGTACTGCTGCCAAATTGAGAGCTCCAAACCAGTGAGCCTGTGGAGTCAGCCCCCCTGAATCACTTCTGGCCAAGCCCAGGATCTCCCAAGAAGCTTCCCATGACAGACAAGTGAGCTTGTTTTATGACACTAGACATGGCTAAATGTCAAGCAGAGTAGTTACACTGGAGCAAAAAACTCTTTATGCTATGAAGAAGCTGCAGAAGTACATTCTTGCACCCATTCAGGGCTCCTTCGTGATTTCAGTGTTGCTCTGTTATCAAAGACAACCAGGAATTAAGAGCACATTGAGATGCACATCTGAGTCCTCACGTGTTCCAAACTGATTCAGTCTCAAGGGCAACTGAAGTGATAAGGAAAAAGAAGTCCCAACAGAGAGTAAATCTAGACCCTGAACATATATTTTTCCCTATATCTGGTCTACTAACAGCAAAGTTTGCAAGTCCTACTGAAATAGTCCTTAACATTGTTTTCCTGTTCTGAAGTCAATGATGAGGGTGAATAAACAAGTTATCTTACCTGCTGCTTTCTTTTCATGTTCACTTACTAACACATCTGAGAACATGAAATACTGTAGAAGCATTAGAAACAATTACTTAAGCAGCAATGCATTTCATTTTTTATTTATTTAAGTTTTTGATGTTTGCATCAGACTTTTGACTTTCTAAAGCCACTCTAAATCAAAAATCATATTATTAAGCCCTCTAAAAATTTATCACAAGTCAGTTTACAGATGACATTGATGTCTTATTGCTATCCATTCCTCCTGGACCATTTCTAACAATTCATTTTTTATATTCCTGCAGTGCTGAAATATGGTTCACACCAGTATCTGTCCTTTTAGTAATCACCAAAGCAAAGCTTGGCAGTTGTCATATATTGCACTCTTGAGAAAAATGCTAGTAATACTCTGAATTGATTGAACAGCATGGAATCAGAGCTAGCTGGCAGAGAAACCATTTAACTGATTTCAATTCATAAATCTCTTTTCCCCTATCCTGTTTTAGTTTAGAAGCTGCTAAATGTCGCCGTTATCTTGTGATGCACAGAACGAACCAATTATTTATAAAGATATTAATTTAAATAATACGTGATTGCATTCATTTATGTTCCATGTGAGCAGGCAGATGGATCTTGCTGAGTAGCTTCCATTTATGCACACTGAGCTCTAGAACGTCTGTAACAGTCCTTGGCCAGCAGACATCGATTTATTTATTTCCCCAGAGGTCAACATCAGGTACAATGTCCTTCCCTGTCTTAAAAATAAAGTGATTTTTAAACAGAGTTTTACCTGCTTTAGGCCACAATTTAAGTCCTTGAGTGTGACCTAAAATGATTAGTAAGACACAGTGTCCCTGATGTGACAAGGTTTAATTAATTGGCAGGGATGCACTCAGTGTCTAAAGCAAAAGCTGTTGCTTAACAGGTTTTTAGGAGAAAAAAAAAAATTATGGCCAGGAACTGTAGTGTAGTTTTAAACAATCATGGAAATAGGGCTTTGAAATTAAGTCCACGGAAAACCAGGAGATCAAAGGCAGATGGGCTACAGTAAGACAGGGGACAAATTTTGGGGGAGCAAAGGCAGAGCTCTCGCACTGGTGAACGGAGGAAGGAATTCCAGCAGAGGATTCGCTCAGTGGGAAGGGAGGGGGTTTGTTCATCCACCACAATCATCCATGACAGGCTGGAAATCCCTGGAGACTGAAACCCACAGTGCTTTCTGCCTAAATGTCACCAGACTACACTGGAAGTTATTCTGTTGTGCTGTTGCTGATTGCTTTGGTGCTCGTGTGAATCCAAAGCAAAAAGGCAGAGGAAGTCAAACGATGTCATTGTTTGTGACAGAGTGAAGGAGTGTGATTTGCAAATTAATAAGGGTTTGCATTGTTTATTAAAAAAGGGCTGTTTATCTGAAAGGGGCTGCATGCTAAATTCACTAAAATGGATAATCAAGAGACAAAGCTGGGCCTGAGAGAGAACTGAAACCTGGGGAGTTCCCTCAAAAGCAGCATTTCTTCTGGGGAATTTATCTGCATGTAAACTCATTAAGTATCTTGTGCTGAGATTCTGGATCTTGAAATCCAATTATCTCTATCAATGATGCTCAGCCTTCAGGACCTGAAGAGCCACTTTCTCAGGAAATGGAGAATCACACACACAAAATAACACAGCACAATTCAGAATAACATCTGATGGTGCTTGAATTGCAAATCGTGTGACCTGATACCGCCCTGCAGTTGTTGGACAGCATGTAAAGCAATATATTATTGCTCACTGAAACTTTACTGCTAAAAATTGGATCAAAGTGGTATCAATATTTGGCAAATTGCATTGCCATCCCTTTTGCTCCTGAATAGAATGGGGAAAATTTTCTTCTAAGCCTCAGACCAGAAGTAACTGTTAAGACACCTGATGTGTAACAGGCCACAGAGTGTGCTTTTCTCCCCTTGTAGGCTGAGGGGCAGGAAAACAGTGATGTTGTTCTTCATATTCTCCTGTCAGATCCTTCCTTTTCTTTAGGAAAAAGAAAAACATTACTATATTTCCAAGTGGTCTAAAAAATTGTAGGAAAGTCTCAATTTCGTTTACTAAAAGGCTTCCATTACTAACATCGAAATAGAATAAACTGTCCAAAGGAACAGGCTAGAAAGGTATGTGCTTAGGGTAGAAACTTTAGGTAGAAATTCTGCAATGGAATGGCTTGGAACAGTTTTGGCCTGCCAGGGTGGAAAGTGAGAATTAAACATGTAACTGGTTTACAGAACTTAAGCAATGCTCTTCACTGCCCAAAAACAAAGCCCAAGGGAAATGAGTGGTAGGGAATGAAAGAGGAATTATTAAGTCTGTGATCATATCACTCAGGTATTATTTGAATTTCTCCAGACTGGTCTTGGATTCTGTTCCTGTGGGTGAACCACTCCTGTTCCTTCTTAAGTTAATTTCAAAAGTGAAGAACACAAAGTAGAAATGTTGTTTTCAAAAGTAAGTAAATATTTTTCAAACTCAAATAAAGCTGATTTCTAATTTAATTAAAAAAAAAATCTGTTAAAAATTTGAAGTTACTCTTCCAAGAAAACTGCACTGAACATTTCCTTCCATCTAGTGCTCTCTTACAGCTTGACTCTCCTCCCAGCACCCTTTCCAAAAGAGGTTTATAATTCTGACTGTGTGCATCTAGCTGTCTCTCTTGTTCACTTTGCATGTAAGCTAGCTTATTATAACTCCGATTTGAAACCACATCAAATCCCTTTTTTATTTATTCACCATTTTTCTTAGGATCAGTTCCATAAAATCCTTTCATGTTCAGCATAATCACAGTTAAGTCTTGTCTAAGAAATTCCTTGGCTGCTGTAGCAAGTGGTTCAGAGCGCTGAAAACTGAAATGCTTCAGCCCATCTGAAACACACCTCTATTTTTAACATACAAAAAACATTCCCCAAGAAGTGAACACAAATATACTACCTGCCAAAGCAAACCCCCACTGAAGCCTTAACTATGAGCAAAGAATTTTTAGCAAGGCATCAAAATTGCAATCTTTTTCTCAAAGGAAAATTTTGATTCAAATGTTTTAGAAACCTCTCTGAAAAAAACCACAACCAGCACAAATCCTGTTCTCGTGACATGGTTGAAGGCCATCACTGCAGGATAATATTTGTGAGCATGGTAAGAACACTTCATTAATGATGTAGCATCTCCCAGCTTGTCAGTGCCTCTGAAATTTTATCAATAATCAGGCATTTGCTTCACTCTGAGCTGGTACAAAAACCCAGTTGAATTCTTAGGATTGGTAAGGACATTGAATATTCTGAACCTCCTGGGCTCGACTCACTGACAACTTCCACCTTCTTGAGTTTCTCATTTTGTCATTCTGTAACTTATAAATAATGGGAAATATTTAACCCTTTACACAAACAGCAATGTCAATAAAACTCCTCTTTTTTTTTTTTTTGTATCAAAATGAAAAACCTCAACACATTTCTGTTTAAAAAGCAAAATGTATATATTACCCTGGAATCTGGGCCACAGTTGGAAGCATTACTGTCCTTCAGTAATAACAACAGCACCTTTTCATCATTTCTGTGATGAAGCTTTACATCAATTCTGATGTATTTGCACATGTACCACCAGAACCTCCATGTGATGTACAGAGCAAATTCCTAAAATCTCTGCTGTTTCCAGCAGATATCTCATTTGTCATGACAACAAGCGAAGGAAGATAAATCATTTTCAAATAACCCTTTGTTAGAGTCTCTGCTTGCTCTGATATTGTAAGTTACAGAGCCTTTTCATCTGCATTGTTCTGTGCTACAGATTGAATAAGAGACAACTGCCTGCACGGAATAAGCAATAAAAACTTTAAAATACCCTTTTAAGCACCCCCACACAAGGGAAGCAAGGCAAAAGCATTAGAAACTAATGAGTGTTTCCAAGACTGCTGACAGGTTCGAGGTGTTTTATTTATAAAACAATTTCAGAATTGAAGTATCAACCCTTCAGTTGGATAAACAGAATTGATAATTTAGTTATTTGAGGAGTGTCCTTAAAACGCACTACATTGTTATTCTGCCTCAAAGCTGATAGATGAAAGTAAATGCTTTAGAAATATAAAATATAGGAAATGTTTTTCAAGTCTACTAACTTCCTTTATTTTGTGCACCAGAACATGAACACCTACCTTTCTTCCCCCTGTGTTCAGGCGGAGTGGAGTTAAGAAGGGATCGAAAATCATATGGCTGGTTTCAATATTGACAGGTGACTGTCTCTTCCCAACAGAGCAAAGATTCCAAGCTGAGTTCACCAAACCCCAAAAGGAGGGCACTGTAAAACAGAAGAAGAGTGCAAGTTTAAGGAAAGTTTGGAAAGACTGGAGCAACACATGCAGGGCAGATGGGCAGGTAATCAAACTGTCAGATTGTCTGCACACAGAGGTTTAACTGAAAACAGGCAAACTCATCTAGCACTTGAAATTCAGAACTTCATACACAAAAGCTAAAACATGTTGTTTCATATAGTTTTGTATTAAGAAAGAAGGCTGGGCTGTTTTTTTTTCCTCTTTTGAAGTAATCCCAGGTTCAATAACAAATAGCTCCTTTGCTATTACAGAATATTTACTGAGCAATAGGAATGTGACTCACTAGTCCTTATGCTAACTTTGCATATATTCAACGTGTCCTTGGACTGAAACTGTCCCATTCTACTCAGCTTTTTTAAAAGCCTTCATATTTGGGAAAAATCATTACAAATCACAGAAATGTTGTAACTGAAACTCACATATGGTGATCCCAGAGAACAGAACTGCTCTCCAGACACATTCTACCAAATTCTGTTCACCCAAACCTTTCTTTAGACAAAGTTTTGATCTAAAGAAAATCTTGCTGGAAAGGTAGTGAGGAAGAATAATTCTTTCCATGGATGTGCAATGGCTTGGAACATGGAGGGGCCCTGACTGTGGATAAACTGAGTTACTTTCTGCACCCCTAATTGGAAAAAAAAGTGGTGTAGATACATATTAATTCTTGTAACTGCAGGCTGAAGGTCACACTGCATCTAATCTGCAAGTTATAGACAAGATCAACCTGAACTTCTCTTTGGGTGCTGAAAAAATTTCTGACTAAATGAGTGAAGAGCAACTACAAGACACACAAAGGACACATCTAGATTGTGTCTGAACACTTTGCCCCTAAGGCACATGAGGCAACTCTGACTTTATCAGAACTGTTCTGTAATTTTGTGTAGCAGGTGAAAATTTCACAGGTGCAAATGTTGTTGCTGCTTTTTGGCTTTATTTCTTTTTTTCTTTTCACTTGTTAAAAGTTTCCATAGCCTTCAAGCCTCAAAGTATTCTTCTAATGCACCAGCTGGGTGTGGCAAAGCCTAAAAACCCAGACTGGGGGACTGCTGGGGCCCTGGGGTAGGAGCACAGGTGCTTCTCACGGTGGGTGGAGCTGCAAACAACCCATCAGTGGGCTATAAAAAGCTTTTTGGTTCCTGTAATCGGGGCTTTGCAGTGTGAATAAGTGCTCCCGCTTGCAGTTTTTGGGTACTCCGGGGGGAGCTACATGGAGTTGTGGCTGGATTTGGCCCTCACGTTTTTGTAGACTTTAACCATTGGGAGGATATTCCTTGGAGAGGAGAAAGGTGGAAAACGGGTGATCTGGGTGAGTGTTTTATAGATTTCAGTTCTTTTTGCCCTCTAAGTTGGAGTGGATGTAGGTGTAAAACTTTGGTTTGTGTAACTTTTCTACAAAACTAGATAAACTTTCTGGGGGATTCTTTGGCTGTTGCTTGCACAGCAGAACTTCAGGGTGAGTGTCTGTGCAGGAGTGATGGAAAGTGTTTTGCAGCTGTTGAGTATTTGCTTACTCCAGTAGTTCATGTGCTATTGTCCACAGATGTTACTTTTATTACAGAATACCTGAAAACTCAATTTTCAGCTGAAACTTTTTCTTTCTTTGTGCCAGTCTGGCTGTGCAGCCACAGGTGCTCCACAGGCAGGTGAACTCTATTAGTCAACACTGAAATGGTGCAGCCAGCAAAGTTTAAAGCCTCCTTGCATACAAATTTGAAGTGACTGTGTGCTGTTAAAACCTTAAATTCACTGGTGACATATCTTTTCTTAACAGCTGAAACAGACACTGAATTCAGACACTCCTCTTAGTATGAACTGCATGAAATCTCCAAGGAGGGATGGATACTGTAATGCTTTACAGCCCTGGGAAAGCAGTGATCAGGGAATAGCACCCAAAAATGCCCAGTACTGCAGATGCCCACATCAAATTATGTCAGTAATCTTTTATTTGAATAATAAACCCAGTGTGAAACCACCCCAGAGAAGGTCAGATGGAAGGTCTCTAAAAATAAGTGAAGCTTTCTGTGACCAGAAAAATGAATTGGCAGCATGGTCTTAAAATTTCTCTGACTCCTCTTTTTGTCCTCCCAGTCAATTCCCACTTCCACTGCTGATATGCAAGACTAGGGAAGTTCAGAGTATACCAAATGATAGGGCTAATGCTTTGAAATGAATAAAATACATGTAGTGCAATTAAAACTAAATCAGCACACAATTATTTGGGGTTTGTTGTTGGTTTTGTTTTGTTTTGTTTTGTTTAAGAGAAATACCATAGGAGCTCACTTCTGCTTTTGTCAGAGAGAAAATCCCTCTTTATACAGAGACCTAAAATAAAAGTTTAGGTTAATTGAGATAGCCTGGTTTCCCTTGATAAATTCCCCTGTGGTATTATCTGTGTTGTTATTTAAAAAAAAATGAATTAATGATGAAACTGTAGGGCTGTAGGATCAAGAGGGAAAACATTAAAAGGGAAATCTGTTGCTTCAATGGTTTAAGGTATTATAAAAGAAAACCCCATTTTGGTCAGAAACAAGTTTTTAGCAAGCTTTTAAAAAATAAATAAACAAACTGGACATGGTAAGTGCAATAAAATGGCAAACCAAACAGGCCAGTCCATTACCTTCAAGCTGATAGTAGTTAAACAATTTATGATGTAACTGGCATTGACCCAGAGAAGCCTCGCTGGAAAATATCTGCTACGAGGGGGTGTTTTATAATGTTATTTCTGGTTTTGACAGGGAACTTGCCCTCCGTGCTGTGCCTGTCACACCAGCGTGTCCCCAGGAGGAGCTCCAGAGTCGGGGTGTTGTGCTGCAAAGGCAGAGTTGGCCCCAGACAGGTAAGTCTGTGCTGCAGTCTTTGATTCCTTCCACATGCCTTGGACACTCGTGCTGCCCAACCTCTCCAATAGGTGCCTGTCGCTGGTTTTTGTTTGTGAGCACAAAAAGTGCAGCAATGGTGAACTTACCCCAGTGATCAGAATGACTTTGCTGGTGCCTCAACCCAAGGTTAATTAAGGATGACTGGCCTAAGATTGCACACCTGAGTTAACTAGTGGATGGGGATATTAAGCAATATTAATGTCTGATTACATTTAATTAAAGTAATTAGTGCTGCTGCTTAGATGCTCAAAGTAATCTAAAAGTATTAAAAACTGCAATAGAAAAATCTTAGGAGGTTCATGTAGGAAACCAAGGTTTAAATTAAACTCAAGTACTGAATTAACTGTTAAGTCTAAAGAAATTAGTGCATGAATGTAGAAAACATATAAAAATATTCATTTTTTTTTTTTTATACCACCTTAGGTAGCAGACAAGATTCTACTAGGGATTAAGTCATTAATGAAACAGCATCTCCTTCCCCACAATTCTGTTGTATTTCCATAAAAAATCTAGTCGTGTATGGAATATGCTGCTTCTCTGTGTGGACCTCTGAAGCATTTCAGACAGCAGCCTGGCTCCTGTGCTGTACAGGAGCTACTCTGACATGCTGGTTTGCATGCAGCCCACATACCAGCTCAAAATCTCATTTAACAAGGTGCTCCAGCTCCTGGTTATTGTACCAAAAGTCTATATATAGCGATCGTGTCGTCTCTGCCTTCCTCTATAAATCTCCCTAAACTTTCAGCACTTGAGAGCTGAGCCTTTGCAAACATATTACACAGACATAAGGTGATAAGGTTTTGTCTGATCAATGCCTTCCACCTTCTCACGGCAGAAAAGGAAATTCAAAGTTTATTTCCTCTGTATGTTGGTGCACTGTGGACAACAGACTTTTGTGCATGTTATATGGTGAGAGGCATTACTTATATTTTATACTGATGCAGAAATCTCTGACATCTTTATTCAGTCTGTATCTTATTGCAGCTGCTCTCTTTTCAATTTACTGGGAACAATTTATATTGAGATATATGGAGATGCTCTAGTATCAGCATGACACAACAGAATGAGGGATTCTGATGGCTTTTACCAAACCTATGCATAACAACAGTGAAATAATAGCAGCTAGGACAATAAAGCAAGGATTGAATGCTGTTCTCCTGGTGATGAGCACCAAGGATTTGCCTAAATAAATATGAGCCTCCCCTCTCCAGGGGAAAGCAATGAGTGCCCCATAAGGATGCCCTTCTGCAGGTACAGCAAACTCACAGATAAGCATAATGGTATTGCCTGCAGTGTGTGTTGATGGGAACAGGCTGCATCCGTGCTGGGAGAGGAGGCAGCAGTTCTCCCAGGATGGGAACATAGGTGTGTGCTGTGTATGGCATCTTAACTGCTTCATTTTGGGGGGAAAATGATGCTGGACTCAAAGGTTGAGGCTGTGAAAGGGCTGTGGACAGGCAAGCAGTGTTAACTGATTCAGTCTGAGCAATGCAAGGTCTCTGGTTTAGGAGTAACTACAGAAGCAACACTTTTTTTGTGTCAAAAAATGTGCAGATGGGGTGCTCAGTGACATGGTTTAGTGGTGGACCTGGAGTTTGGGTTAATGGTTGGACTCTGATCTTAGAATTCTTTTCTGACCTTAATGATTCTATGATTGTATCATGGGTATCATACTACACTGAATCTCTATAGGAATGAAAACCTTATGCAGTTAATTTTTGTGTAGATAAAAATGGTGGGTTTGTTTGTTTGTTTGTTTGTTTTTAAAAAAACAACACCTGAATGGTAAAATGGATACTGCAATTGCCAGATTAGAAACTAAGTGTTAAGGTATTCTGGGTTGTTTTGAGCCTTTGTTTAAATAGGACCAAGAAGGCAGCAAGCTTCAACAGGGAAATAAAGGAGGTGGCCAGAAGTAAGGGAGCTTCCTTCAAAAAATGGTGTCTAAATAACAAAGATGGAAAAGATGATAGAATCTGTCAAGTTAATTATAGGACTGAAATAAGACCTGCCAAAAGATATCAAAGAACAATTTTCTAAAGGTTTAAAAGCCACTAATAACTTTTTTAAGAGTGTGAGAATCAAGG